GAAGACTATATCACGTGATGCGAAATTCAGAAAATAAACCGTAACAAACACGAATCATAAAACTTACCTCTTGCTACTTTGTGTTAATCGTTCATGACCATTACAGATCAAAAACTTATGAATAGCTATAGAAAACTCAATATCGAGTTAAAGCGTCAATTTAATTAATATCAATAATTCATAAAAATAAGAACAAGCAATAAATATTAATTGGATTAAAAGAGAAATACTAATTTAGCACAAACCTTACAAAATTACAGTGAAATCATTCCCCTTGAATCAAAAATAAAAGCTTAGTCACTCATGGTCGAATGAAAATACAAGAGAAAATAAGTTGTGCTGTCTTTTTATATATAGAGCCAAAACCCAAAAAGAAAAGTAAGTCTCAATTAAACGAGTCTAAATCAAATAAGGAAAACTAAAATAAAGGAAAATCAAAATAAATAAAGTCCTAAATGAAAAGAGGTTGATTCTTGGCTAGATACTTTCAAAATAATATAAATATTTATAAAAGTGAGCTTCATCCCATATTTGAATCTAAAATTTCAAATTATTCTTATCAGACAACAATCGCGTGTTAATCATAAGACATGGTCACGCCTTGTCGAAGATGATCTTCTGCCCAATTTCATATTCTTTCGAAAGACTTGATTCTTACATAGAAAGTTAAATACACGTTTTTTAGCTGATTTTCACCGTTGTATCCATATTTCACCTCATAAATCAAAACAAACATAATTTTCACAATTATGCTCAAATTATAATAAGAATATGGAGGAATTAATGGTAAAAAGATGTATATAGTTATAACTTATCAAATTCTCCCACACTTAAATTATGCTTGTCCTCAAGTATACCTCAATTCAATATACCAACATGTCCATCTACCTTTTCATCTCATTTAATATTCTGGAATACCAATAAAATTAAGCATACATCAAAGGTTCAAACCATAACCACAATTAAGAGAATGAGCATGAATATGATAAATTTGCATTGAAATAGACCATCTCATTAATCCACCAATATCAAGAGCAACAAGACTTAATACCCTCACATGGTTTCACTCAATACTTTCAAAGTGTTTAGGGTGCATTTAAATCTCAAGGTCAAAGCATAGCACGATATTACCATAAACTTGCAAATGAATCAAATCTCCACCACTCGTATGAGTGTGGTGCAAAAATCAAAGGGTCCCTTTTAAGGATTGTAACGAGACTTAGGTAAGGATGTGGTAAAAGACAAAAAATGAAGATTTAACAATCAAGGCAATAGATATTAATTTGCATGATATCAATTCCACATAACAACATCAAAACTACTATCAACTTCTTCTCAAATATCATTCAAACACTAAAGAATTTGGAGGATCAACATTTAATTGCTTTTGCGAACATATCTCCAGATACCTTCATCCCTTCAAGAGAGAAACTTCAATTTCTCTTTCCTTTCCTTTTCTCTGTCTTTGTCTTTGTCTTTTCTTTTTTCATTTTTTTGTGGAACAACATTTTCTTCTTATCTTGAAAAGGGCAGCGAGAAGAAGGGATAACAAAAAATAAAAGACTTTGGGCTAAAATGTGGTAAAACAAAGAAAAGAGGAAATGATATCAAGTTGGCTAAGGGGAAAAACGTATTGGTAAGCTTTTTGAAAGTTTGAGAAATGTGTTTAACCTAATTGCCCTTATCATCTTCAAGCATCAATCCAAGAATGTAGTCTCAAAATGCAATTACAAGCAAGTTCTAGAATAAACACGCAAAGTATGACACACTCATCAATAAGAAAAATTAGCAAAATATAATGAATTTTTCTAAGACTCAAAATCTTACCAAATGTGTAATTTGTATCAAGTCTAATGCACTTTTCAATTAATGAGCTCATGAGACTTCATCAAACATATGTAAAAAAGACTAATCATGTTCGTCTTTTTCAAGCATTATAATCCAAAACAAGAAGTATGCAGAACTTACAAGGTATTCCAAGATATTAAGCAAAGATTCAAGAATTCAAAAGAAAAGTCGGCATATATGGATTGAAGCACACCAAAATTTAAGTAAAAGACGAACAATTTTCAAAACAAAATGAAATCATGTATGAAATATCTCCCCCACACCTAAATCCTACATTGTCCTTAATGTATATCCAATTAAATTGCTCGAAAAAGAAATTAAAGAGAAAAGGGAACTCCCTGATATGTGAGCAAGCCAGACTGACACTGTTCAAGGTGATGGTAAATAAGGAATAGAGACTCCACAATGCTCCACAAAGGCAGCCAAGTTCTTCTTCATCCTTGAAAGTCGTCGTTCTATTCTTGCCCAAGGTTCCTCAAAATCTGGTTCAGTGGAATCTTCATTGGGATTGATGAAATCTATGAATCAGTGTGGGTGAAGAATGACAGAACGAGAGGCAGTACTCTCTTTTATCTTTTATTGAAAACTGCTGTAATATCTCCAAAGGAGACCAGCCATTAAATACAAAGGAAATGACTGAGTTGGTTAAGAAACGGTCTAACAATCTTAACCGTTCCTTTTTACCAACTTCAGATTTTACACCTAACTCACTCAACAATGATTGAAGCCAGACTACTTCAGTCGCAGCACAAGCAACGCTACGATACTCGGCTTCTGATGTCAACCTTGCCACAACTTCTTGTTTACGCGACCCCCACGAAACAGGATTGCCATAAAAGAAAATACAGTACCCCGTTGTAGAACGTCTGTCGTCCGAGTCACTTCCCCAATTAGCAACAGTAAAGCCTGTAATAGTTGAACACTGATGAGGAGAAAATTTTAGACCAAAATCAACCGTGCCTTGTAAGTAGCGAAGGATACGTTTAACAGCAAGTAAATGAGTATCACAAGGAGTTTGCATGAACTGACAAACTCTATTGACAGCAAATGCTATGTCAGGTCAGGTGATCACAATATACTGAAGAGCCCCAGCAATACTTCTAAACTCAGTAGCATCATCAACTGGACTTCCATCATTTAAAGATAGCTTGCAACTGGTGATCATGGGTGTAGGAAGACTCTTAGCATTGTCAAACCCATATTTCCTTAATAAGTTAAGGATATACTTCCTTTGACTTATGTGCAACCCCCATTAGACTCATACTGGACCTCAATCCCCAAAAAATACCGAAACAGACCAAGATCCTTAATCGTGAAAGCTTCATTCAATATAGTGACAACATTCTGGATTTCAACAGTATTATCTCCAGTGATGATGATATCATCCACATACACTAGTAGATAGATTAAACTAGTGGCAGTTTTCTTCACAAAAAGAGATGCATCCGCTTTGCTGAGACTGAACCCTGCAGAAACTAAATACTGTCTGAGCTTTTCAAACCAAGCTCGTTGTGTTTGCTTAAGCCCGTAGATGGCCTTGTTTAATTTACAAACTAACGGACGTCCATCCGAATCAAACTGCTTATAACCAGGGGGTTGTGACATGTTTACTTCCTCTAATAAGTCCCCATGTAAAAAGGCATTATTAAATCTACTTGCCTTAACATCCAGCCTTTATTCACTGCTATCGAGAGAATTGTCCGAATTGTAACTGGTTTGATAACAGGACTAAACACCTCATTAAAATCAACCTCAGGTTCCTGTAAATACCCTTTAGCAACCAGTCTAACCTTGTATCTCTCCACTGCGCCATCTGGATTCTTTTTCACCTTGAATATCCACTTACAATTAACTGTCTTCCTATCACGAGGCCTTGGAACCAAATCCCATGTCTTATTCTACAAAAGTGCTTCATACTCGGCATTTGCTGCATCCCTCCAATGCGAACTTTTCAATGCTTCTCATATATTCTTTGGCTCCTCAGTGGACTGAACAAAAAACACCTTAGGCTTGCGTATACCATTTTTGCTTCGAGTTGTCATCGGATCCTTCAGGAGAACATTGTTCATGAGAAATAACCTCATGTTCATTTTCACTCGATAAACTCCTTTGAGCACTAGCTTCAGCTTCAACAACCGAGAGAAGCTCCTCTTGCAGATCACCAAGAGCTTCCTGAGACACAACAGACTGCTGCAGACTAGTGTCCAGTTGTGGACTCCTAAAAAATCCTGAATCAGCATCTCGCTGAACAGACCCTGTAGGGGACCCTTGATGCCTAGTAGCAGGCGATCCATTCTGACAATGATCAGAAGAAGAAACAACATGCCCAGAAGATTGACCACCTTCAGGAATAACATTTGCAGAAATAGAAGAAGCCTTTTCACAAACCTATTGTCTTGGCATTAAAGAGCTTACAAGTAATGGAAGATCTCGAACAGAGGAAGAAACTTCAGCAGAAACAGTATTTCCACACTTCTCAACAAAAGGAAACAGAAATTCATCAAATATAACATGTCGAGATATAATTTTTTTTCCAGATTCATCCATACACCTGTAACCCCTATACAAAGGACTATAGCTGAAAAAATGCATTTATTCGATCTGAAATCCAACTTATGCTTGTTCAAAGGTCTCAAGAATGGAAAACAAGCACAACCAAACACATGCATACAAGAATAGTCTGATACTTGACTATAAAGCTGTTCATATGGAGATTTTCCTTCCAAAACTTCCGTTGGTAGCCTGTTGACGAGATAAACAGCTGTTGTAAAGGCATAACTCCAAAACTTTAAAGGCAAGTCAGCTTGAGCAAGCAAATTCAGTCTCATTTCAACGATATGATGATGCTTTCGCTCAGCTTTCCCATTCTGTTATGATGTATGAGGACAAGCTAATCTAAACTGCACCCCATTAGATAACAACCAATTGGTTAATGGTTTATATCCGGTTCCTCCATCCATTGCAATGCTTTAATTTTGCAGCCAAAATGCTCTTCAACTAGTCTATAAAAATTTAAGAAACATTGAACAACGTCAGACTTTCTTTTTATGAGATACAACCAAGCGTGTCTACTACATATATCCACAAAAAACACATAATATAAAAAGCCATCAGAGTTAACTGGTGCAGGTCCCCAAAGATCGGAAACAACAAGATCAAAAGGATTTTTATATTCAGTAACAGACTTAGAAAAAGGGAGGTTATGAGCTTTCCCTTGTAAACAGGCTGCACATACATGTTGCATCTCATTTTCACTAGTACATACATTGCACGAACTAAGAACAGTCTTAAGCACTTCATTAGAGGATGTCCAAGACGATTATGCCACAATTCAAAATCGTTTGACGATTTAGAAACATGAAACGCTGCAGCATGTGATTTGGAAGATTGTAAACACTCGTCTGTTGTTGGAGGTAGCAGCTTATATAACCCTTCATGAGTGAGCCTCCTTTCGAGCAACACTTTCCGAGTCTGATTGTCCTTAACACAACAACCATCAGCACAAAACTCAAAAACAACATTATTATCCTTAACAATCTGTGATACAGACAATAAATTTTTCCTTATTTTTGAACATGCAAGAGATTATGTAAGATCAAAGGTTTTCCAGAAGTAAACAAAACCCCTTGACCAACATGAGAAATTTTAACCCCATCTCCATTACCCACGAGTAACCTGCAATTACCTGCAGAGGGTGTCCCAGCTTGAAGATTGGATTGAGTATGAATAACATGGTGAGTAGCCCCAGTATTGGGATACCAAGCTCCATCATTCGAGACAGACCATTGAGAAGAAGGAGACACAAATGAAACACCAACAGCAGATGTAGGAGCAAAAGGTGCAGGAATAAAGCCAAGACTTCCAAGATCAGCAGAAACATGAGGGCTGGTTACACCTGCAAGAGAAGAAATTGAATTTTCATAATGTTGTGAAGATGTTGGCATTGGGTAGAAACCATGTAAATGATAATCAAAGATGTTGACATATGGAGATGGACAAAAAAACCCAGTCGAATCTCTGTACTGTTGAGAAGGCATGTGACTCAAAGTATGAGTGTAGACTTCAGGTGTACTCAAGACCGTGTTATAATTTGATAACCTTCACGTTGACCTTCATTATTATCATGAACAAACCCATGATAATTTTGGTCAAACCTGTGATAACACTTTTGAACCCTGTGACCAAAACGACCACACAATTGACACTATGGACGATTTTGATTGTACCTACCACGGCCTCTTCCTCGATAGTTACCACCACAACATCCTCCTCTAGAGTCTTGTTGACTCGAATATCTATATAAAAACCCTTTCTTATTATCACCCTCAACAGCCTTATCACTGTGATACGTAACTAAGCTGGCATGAGCAGGTAAAATCTCTTGAAGAAACACTTTCTGACAAGCTTCGCACTCTAGCAACATATCTGTTAGATTTTCCAGAGACACCAATTCCCTGGAAGCGATGGCTATGACCGACTCAAACTCCATTGAAAGATCAGCTAGAATCACGCTCACCTGCTCTTGTTCAGTAACAATACTGCCTGAAGCATTGAGAGTATCACATATCACCCTGATCTTAGCCAAATACTCATTCACTGTTAAGCCACATTTTCTTTGTGTGTGCAGACTATGCCTTAGAGAGGAGGTTTTGGCACTAGAACGAGCAGCAATCATTCTGTTTATAGTGCACCAAATAGTTTTAGTAGAATTGCAGCTTGTGAGGTGAGGAAGCACCTCGGGACTCACTGTAGACAACAACCATGATGCCAGCAACTTATCTTGTCTATTATACAACGAGAAATCGGTTTGTAAAACAGTGGACCCCGAGTCTGTTTGAACAAACTGAGTAGGAGCAGATTCATTTTCAGAAACAAAACTCGTGAGTCCATAGCCATCAATTATCAAAATGACTTGATGTTTCCAAAGGATATATATGTATATTCAGAAAGTTTGACAACGTCAAATTTAGGAATCTGCTGAATCGGCATGTTAAAACTGTTCGTAGAAGTAACGTGAACAGAATCGGTTTGAGTATCATCAGTCATACTCAACAATCTTCAATGAAGCAAAACCACAAACAGGTAGCGTGCACACTCCAACAGAAAAGAAACCGCAGCAAAACTAGATCTGTACAGCCCAAAAACTTCAAAACACCTCATGCAACAATCAACCACAAAATTCAGCCGACAAAATAAGATGCAAAATCAAACCATTGCAAACGCCCCAAGAAATTGATAAAACAATTTATGAGCCTCGATTTAAGGACCTTAAGGATATCCAGTAAAAGATCACTAGTTTGCTCTTTCTCCAATGAGTCATTACGAGTCAAACATGCTCATGATCAAAAAAGGGATAATCCTAAACTTCAACAAGCCTTAAATTGATGCAACGATCAGTTTCAACAAAAATCCGATGAACACGAGAAGCAATTCAGAAGAGGTTGCCAGAATTAGAAAGAACCGAAGAGAAGAGAAGAGAATTAGAAAGCAATCCGATGAACATCAACTTACTTTACAGCGGATACAGCAGTAGGATCTTCGGCGAAAGATACCATGATGAAATCTATGAACCAGTGTGGGTGAAGAATGGCAGAACGAGAGGCAATACTCTCTTTTATCTTTTATTGAAAACTGCTGTAATATCTCTAAAGGAGACTAGCCATTATATACAAAGGAAATGACTGAGTTGGTTAGGAAACGGTCTAACAACCTTAACCGTTCCTTTTTACCAACTTCAGTTGAGAGTGGCTTACTCTAATAGGGATGAAGATCATGTGTCTTGCGAATGCGTTTTAAAGATCGTGGAGGATCACTAGGTAAACGTAACAAGCACGAAGGGAGTTGTACGAAAGTATACATTCAATCTGTCTTCTCCCACACTTTCACAAACAACAGCCGCACTCACCCAAAATTTTATCCTCATTCATAAAACACCTTGTTCACCCATCCACGCCTAACCCAAAAAAACTAGTCGTTACTCCCTTTAATCCACGCCTCTAACCTCATCCCCCATTCACCATTGAAAACACGAGCAGCTCCAGGACAGACGGAAGTGGTCCCCGAGTAAGGTCTTGTTTGGACAAAGGCGAATCGGTCCCACCACCATTGGAGGCTGATTTAAATGGATTTTAGAAATTCAACACCAAAGCTCGAAAAGTCAGGTACACCGACATGAAAACTCGACAAATCAATTCGGATAACTATGTCGACAGTCATTCTTTAGAAGAATTGAAAAAATAGAGAAGCTTTTGATGCTATGATCGTTGGTATGTGGTGGAAGAATTTTATTAATATTAAATATACTACTTCTATCGAGTTGAATAGAGAATTCTACGTTACTTTTCAATTTGACTTGCCCAAGGATTTTAATCTCAACACTCCCGGAGTTGTGAAATTTAGAATCCTAGGCAAAGAATTTTCTCAATCCACTACCGAATTTAATTTGGCTTTAGGATTGATTGATACTGAATGCTCTACCACCACTTACTATAAATGTAGCACTGTCGATTTTATGGACACATTTTTTTCATTCGACGGTTTGGAATGACATGTCTTCTAATAAATCTCACTATAATCCTAGTAAGTCCAAGGGTGCTTACCTTCAAAACCCTGAATGGGTTTACATGCAACGATTTTTAGCATTCAGTTTTCTGGTCGAAAAGATACTGCCAATATATGTACTAAAATTGAACTGAACTTTATTTGGTCAACGTTGCATGACAATCCCATTAACCTAGGATTTTGGTTTGCTTCAATTTAATTCAGTTCTGATCAATGGTAAGCATTTGTGCCTTGGTTTCCTCGTTACTCATCTAGTAGTTCAACTTAATTTGCTTGATCTAGCTAGTACTAACCTACATGTAGCATGTGAGATGGAGCCACTAGACACAGGGTGCTTGTTGAAAATGAAAGTGTTGGAGAAGACAGATGGAGTGTATACTTTCGTACAACCCCCTTCGTGCCTATTACGTTTACCCGGTGAACCTCCACGATCTTTAAAACGCATTCGCAAGACACATGATCTTCATCCCAGTGAAGATTCCACTAAACCAGATTTTGAGGAGCCTTGGGCAAGAATAGAACGACGACTTTCAAGGATAGAGAAGAACTTGGCTGCCTTGATGGAGCACTGTAGAGTCTCTATTCCTTGTCCACCATCACATTGAACCGTGTCAATCTGACTTGCTCACATATCAGGGGAGTTTCCTTCTTTCTTTAATTTCTTTTGTGAGCAATTTACTTGGATATACATTGAGGACATTATAGGATTTAGGTTGGAGGGTAGATATTTCAAAACAAAATGAAATCATGTATGAATGAGACTACCTTTGTTGTTCAAGAAAATTGTTAAGCCTTCAACATGTAGCGCTTAGATTTACGAATCATGCATGTACTTACTGCTTTTCGTTATTTTTGTGTATTCATACGATCTTGATTTGTATTATTGGTCTATAAACACTATTCACATTGGATTATTTTGATTTATATAATAAAAAGTCAGAGTTTCGATTTTGTATAAATATTTTATATTATTTCTGTTATATTTATATTATATCTCAATTTTATATTATGAAGGTAAAGGATTTTAAGTTTTGGTAGTTGCTAACATTTCAAGTCTATCCGGCAGTGATCGAATTATTTCAATAACTTTAACAGGCCAAAAAGAACTCAATTGACACAATAACAGTTTCTTTAGTCGTTAACCCAATTATTTCAGTACTTTGATTACTTGTCGTTCCTCCTTAACACTTGATTTTTTTTTTGTTATTTTCGAAACGATTTTTTCCGATGGGGAAAAAGAGGACTCTTGTTTCGAAATAATTCTTTGATGACCGGTTAATGATGAAAACGTAATTCAAGGAGTCGCCACCAATCTTTGATGAGGGTGTGATTGGGCATACAAAAATGTATTTTTTATTTTAATAAAATATTAATTTTATTTAAAACAACAAACTTGCAGTCTGCGTTACTAAAGTTCGAGTTCAAGAGTCAGTTACGTGTGGGGAATGATTAGCACCCCCACATCTCCCTAAATTGATACCTAGTAGATTAATTAATTGTCTTTGCAATGAAATTTATGAGTTCGAGTCTAATTTAATTTAAGATTTCCCAAAAATAATATTCTGAATTTTTGGACGAAACATGATAATATTTAATTATTTCCTATCGAGGAGAATCGATCTCTCATACCTTAAAACAATAGACTCTTACTACAATCGAAATAAAGAAATATTAAAATTTCATTCTAAAGTTTACTAGTATTTCAAAATAACAACACACAAAATAATTTTAAGAGATAACGATAATATCTAATTATTTCTAATCGAGAATAAATGACCTCTTATGCCTTGAAACAATCATTTATTACTCCAGTCGAAATGAATATACACTATTCCGTCTTAAAAATCGATATTGATTCGAGAGAAAACGATAATATCTAATGATTTTCGATCGAGAATAAATGACCTCTCATGCCTTAAAGCAGTCATTTATTGCTCCAATCGAAATGAAGAGATATCACTATTCCATCTTAAAAATAGATATTAATTTGAGAGAAAACGACAATATCAAATTATTTCCAATAAAGAATAAATGACCTCTCATGCCTTAAAGCAGTAATTTATTACTCCGACCGAAATAAGAAGATATTACTATTCTCAATATTTATTCGAATGTTATTATTTTGAAAACCTATCGGGAAAACACATGCAAAAATAAAGCGAATTAAAAGCATATATCAAGCAAGTATTATTAATTATTTATTTTACCAATATTTAATGAAAATAAGGATGTTCAATTATTTAAATATCTCGAGACGATACTTTAGATTCGCTCTAACAGTCTTTTCTCGATGAATTTAATTGAAAGAAAAAGATTTTTTCTCAATCCCCGAATTTTAAAATGAATTTGATTTAATTCGTGTCACTAAATGGGATAGACTTTCATTTTAAAATTATCGAAAGTAACTTTCTTATACATTAAGACAATCACTTTACGATAATATTAAAATGATCGAATATTACCATTAGTCAATTTATTTCGATTCGAGTCAAGTGATGCT